CGTCACCGGGCGCGCGTCAATCTAAAATAATGAAGAGACGGAGAGGAGACGCGTTCGGGTTGACGGCGCGCGGCGTCGTGGGGTCGCGGGGAGAGCAGCGCGGCGCCGGGTGCACGCAAGGCCGCACCGCCGAGCTGCTCCAGCAGCGCCGATGACCCGGCAGAATGAGGGCGAAAACGTCAACGCCCCGGCCCGGACCCACCACCCCTTTCCTATGTCTCTGTTTCTATCTCTGCCTCTCTCTCTCTCTCTGTCTATCTCTCTCACTCCACCCATATTTCTCTCTCTCTCTCTCTCTCGCTTTCTCTCACTCCCCCTCGCCTCCATTACCACCCCTCAACCCCCAATGCCAAACACCTCTGCACCTGCGGAACGAGACGAGATGTAGTCGCATGTCACAAAGGAGGAGGCCCACCCCACGCCTCGTTGTGCGGCTGCTCCATCTGCCTTCCGCTCGACCTCCTCCTGATGCCTGGCTCCTCTCGCAACGACCTCTTCCCCCCCAGGCAGTTCCTGCCTCGTCTTCAGCGCGTCCGTGATGCGACATTTGATCCGCCGCTCTCCCTCACCGCCCCCCGCGCCTTCCCTTCGTCTGATGACGAGCGGGGCGATGATGCCACGTGGTTTGCCTCTATACAGGCGCGAATGTTTGCCTAATTATTTTCCCTGACCCCGCTGCTGATGTGGTCGGTCGATCACAGGGGACCCTGGTTCGCCATGGCCAACTACTGCACCCGCACATTCTAATCGCCTTCACCCCCCGACAGCCACGTTCACCCTTATAATATCGTAAATAAATCACTGTAAGTCCGAAAAGGTCACGAGCGTACCCTTCGCCCTGCTTTAAGTGTACTGAATTTGAATTTGCACCCAATAGCCTTTTTAAAACTCAATTGTGTTTTTTTTTTTTGTGTTTTTTTTTTAATAATTCAAAAAGGGCGGCGATAGGCTTGCCTCCACACACCTCTCCAAACCGTTCTTTCCCGAGCGAGGTGCGGGGAGCTACGCGCTGGAGAGGTCCGCAGTGTGTCAGAGCCCCCGCCGGGCGCCGTCGGGACAGCAGCAGGCGAGCGTCATGGCGCGACCCAAAACATGACCTGCTGCCGCCACCTGTTGCCCAACGCACACGGCACGGCAGAGATTGTCTGCTGCCGCTCTTTGTCTGCTTCGTCGGACCGACGCTTGACCCCCCAGGGGTCACGGATAACGACAGCACTATAGTCAGTGCGAGAGAGACAGACTTATGGGTGACCCAGAAGAGTGAGAGAGAGAGCGCGAATAACAACAAAGTGGCCCGCGGACCGCTTAGCCGGCACCCCTGGCTTAACCCTCACCGTGAGAGAGAGGGAGAGGTGGAGCGTGCGGCGCGGGGTGTGGGTGGGTGCGGCACATTCGGTCACACTATGCGTTATTTTCTCTTCTGAAAAGGATTAAAGGGGCTGGTGAAGCCCTGAAGAGGAGAAGTGGGAAGAGGAGGGGGGGGGGAGCTTGTCAGCTGAAACAAAGTGTCCCAAGCGAAGGGGTTCGCGGGGATGAACCGGAGAGGCGGCGGGTGAGGGAGGGGGGGGGCGTCTAATTCCCTGCGAGATTGTGTCCCGTAGGCCGAGGAGTCGCGCGCGCACGCGGGAGGCCAGGTCCGAACACAAGGGAGGCGGCCGGGAGGGGGGCGTGGGCGATGGTAATCCCTCCGGCTAAGAGATGCCTCCCCCTCGGCACGGTAGACGACATGCCTGATACGGCCTACGAACTACGACACACCAAAGTGCACTGCACTGGCGGAACCCACTTTGATGGTTTAAGGTCTCCCCCACTAGAGAGCCTCACGGAACCTCAGCTCAAGTCTTTTTCTCTTTTGTGTTTAACTTTGGGAAGTCTCATATTAAAGGAGAGGGAAGATTTTGAACAAAAAAATCTGACACCACCGCATCTGACGCACGACTCGATTATTACATAAATCGACATAAATAGAGCGAGAAAATAATTGGTTATTCCTATCTCGTCAGAGTAGAGTAAGCCGGGAGGGAAGAAGGGCAGTAGTGTCAACGGGTGCAAGAAAAAGGCGTTGGAGTTTGCGGAGGCTGCTGCACACGTGGAGGAAGAGCGAGCGAAAGAGGGAGCGGGAGAGAGAGGAAGAGAGCGAGCGGGAGAGAGCACGTGGAGCCCACGCGGGTAGGCACGCAAGGCAGGGTCGCGTAAGGCGCAAGGAGCAAGAGGCAGCCCCACGCAAAACATACCACGGCCACTAGTGATGGCTGCTGCGCGCGGTTTGGTTTCATGTATGTCGCATCTCTCACTCTTTTCATTTTCTGCGCTCGCTCCGCTGATCGGCTGCGTGGTGTGGCGCTGCCGATGGTGTTGACAGGACCCCGGCCCGGGCCCACTCCCAACGGGGCTCCTACCCATCCGTCAGCAGACCAATAGCGGGCCGTCCCTGGCGTGCTACCCCTGTCTCTCCCTCCCCCTCTCGTCTCTCTCTATCTCTCTCTCCGTCGCGCTCTCCCTCTCTCGCTCCCTGTCATTTTCCGACTCACTCCCGCCTATCCTGCAAATCGCGAAAGTTTTTTCCTCTCGTGGGCTCAACTTTGGTGTAGGCGCGGGGCTGACGCGCGCTATGCTGCGCCATGCAATTTTGATGAAGCCCTGTGGAACAACGATGATGCGTTTCATTGGCTCGGACGCGGCCGAAACGGGCGCGGGGGGGGGCCCTGATGGGCCCTGCCGGCCTGCCGGAAAGGCACGGCCTAGTTGTTCTTCTCCCCCGACAATAAATGATGACAAAAAACAAGACAGAAAAAGAAACGCGGTAGAAAATAACAATATAGCCTTTATGGAAAAGATAATCGCAATCGCGGGCTTTCGATTACGCATCGTAAATTCTAACGTGGGCTGCGCTTGTTGCGTTTCGTCGGATATAATATCGTGTAATCTGAATTAATCTGCCTCGGGCGAGTGGCTGGTTGTACGAGACGTGGACGCGTATGGGGGTGGCGGGGGATGTGTGTGCGTGTGTGTGTGGTGGGCGGCACTCGAGGGAAAGGCGGCGGCGACGACGGGAGTCTCCGTTAGCGAATGGGCTATTTCAACAGTGCGGGGTGCGGGGGAGAAGAGGAGGGGGTGACTCAACTTTTGCATTATGGCTGACTAACGGGTGGCGGCGGCGGCGGCCGGACCCGGGCTGGCCTGGCGCGACGTGGCGGGGCGTAGCGTGGCGTTGTGATCGGGTCCATACTACAGGCCCCGTCCGGCCCGGGCCGGGCGCGGCGGGCACAGAGTGCACAGTAATCTGTGAGGGACACACATACAATAGACGGATTGCCGATGTGGCCACAAGCAGCCCAGACGCAGCATCGTGGCTTCACTTCACAGCGCGACTCGCAACAAAGCGAGGGGGCTCAGACAACACAGCAAGTTTCTTTTACGTTTTTCTTCTTGTCCAAATCTCTGCGTTGTTATGAGACACAGTTTTAGTAAAAGATGCAACCGACAACACCCTGAGAAGGGCCACAGCCACAGCAATAATTAAGCACAGCAACTAATGCAATTTTAAAGTCAAAAATTTTCCGGAAAAAAATGGGAACTTTGTCAGAAAAATCCGGAAATTTAATGAAATATTTCCAGAAAAATTGGAAAAAAATCCCACAAAAAACACTTTTCCGGAAAATTAAAATCCGTAGGCGGTCTCATAATGTCTACTTTTACTCTGTTCCAGATGATCGTGCCCAGGCGCGCAGAGAAGCGCGCCGCCATCATGCTGGACCGCATCTTCGGCATGATGAAGGACGCCGTGAACGGCGACCCCAACACGGGCCTGAAAGCCATCGCTCCGGACGACAGGGTGAGTGCTGGAGTCTGTCTGTCTGTGTATCTATCCATCTGTCTGCCTAGCTGTCCGTCCGTCTGTCTGAGTGCGGGAGCAACGGCGCGACGTGCCGGACGGGCGGGCGTGGAGCTTGCTGCCGGGCGCGCACTCCACTGCCCTGCCTCGCGCTGCTTGGGTGTTTGATGTCGCCGAGCGCCCCGCCTCGCCTCGCCTGGCGCCTGTTCCGTTAAATACGGTTAGAGCATTATCACTAATGGCTCTGAGGCTGCGGCTGTGGTCGGTATAAGGGCTGCTGCTGGATGGGCGGGGCGGGGCAGGACAGGGCGGGGCGGGGCGATAACAACGTCTTACCAGACTCGGGGGCGGGGGAAGACATAGAGGCTGATACCTGGACCGCTGCTGTCGCCGCCTGAAAAAAAAACAAAAAAACAGCCCCGATTTTCCTGTTGCTGTTTAATAATGTCTGCGCTCGCCGTGACCGTGGCTGCCCACGAGGTCCTCTAGGATGCTGCCCCTCCTGCTCCTCCTACTTCTTCTGCTCCTCCTCCTCCGTTTTATTCTTCTTGTGCTTCGTACGCTGTTCGCTACGCGGGGCCCCACACGACGTCCTTTGAGGCGCTCGTCGTATTTCAACGCAGCAGCACCAGACACAAAGGGCCGGCGGCGCGCAAAAGGCCCGGCGACGGGGGGGATGGGGAAGTGTCGGCAAGGCATACGGAATGAGCTTTAACTATGAAATGGGCAGCCCTTGCGTCTGCCGACACTGAAAAACAATCTTCTCATTACAAAAATGTCATCGATATAAATCGCCATCCATAAGATGCAACAGGGTAAAAACAGGGCATTGTCCCTCAATTCATATTTAATTTTGCAATTAAAATATGAGGAACGTGAACTTTTATTGTTAATACGTAACCCACACTCGATTGTGTAGTTGTCTTGTACCGCAAGCCTCTCTAACCAACCATGGCGCTTTACGGTTCCGAGCGGGTTGCCTCCTCGATCGGGTTGAGGCGCCATATGGTCAAGGGGCAGTGCGAGAAACGCGGAAAGACAAATGTTATTTGTGACGAAATGACCTGTACGCAAGAGTAGGAATTTGTGACTTTTTTTTTTCATCGCATAACATGTTCTAGCGGGAGAAGAAGTCCCAGTCCCTGACGTGCTGACGCGTTCCGCTCTGTTGCAGATGGACCTCCAGCGCCGCGGGCAGCAGAAGGGCCGTGTGTACTGGCGGTGCTACTTCAACGCGGTCACGTGCTTCCGCCGGAAGTGAGGCGGAGGAAGAGCGGAGGTTCATCCCCAAGCTTATCATTAGAGGTTTTTATCTTTCGCGACCGGTGAGGAAGTGACCACCCTCTCGCATTGCTCGACGTCCTGGATGGACTCGGACAACGTACGGACATGTCGGATGCCCAAAGGAGAAAAAAAATATCAATTATAAATAACGAGAGATCGAATGCGTTCGCTTGCACCAATTTTTTTCTTTACGGTTCGGTCTGGTGGGATGACGCAATCAATAGTCACGTAGTGACCTGGGCTTATCTGGCTATTCTTACGAAAATAAGGCTGCACTATATTTTTGTACTCAGTTCCCTATCCTACTTTTTGACTCCAGGACTGACTACCGGGCAGAGACGAGAGTTAGTTGTGTTTCTTTCGGTCATAAGCGCACTCATTTGATCTTCTCGGTTAACACGCTTGCAGTTAACTCAAAAATATTTCATCAGCCATTCCCCAAGCTGCTTAAATTCTATTTATAGTATCAAATCAATCGACAGCAGGACGCCTCCTTAGGATTCATAAAGGGACCCTTCAATAAATCAAATAAATTGAAATAGTTCCTGACAAAATGTCCCGCGCGAAGTATAATCAGTTGTTATAAATCATGTTGTTTTGTTGATGTTAATTGATTTTTCGGTGTTCTGCTTAGGTCCAGAATACACTTACAGACTTGAACATTGACTCTTTCTAGTTCGTAAAATTAATGTAATTGTTTTATTTACTATGTGTATACTCTATCTATCTCTATAAGAGACACATCTTTCATATTTGCTTATGAACTCGATGGAAAGAACGCTTAATATAATTTTTGTAAATACTTGACACAGCCTTCTAACATAGACAGAGGTACTAGGCAGTTTTCTCTCATAGCAATATCCCCTCTTTGGTTCCTCAACGTTTTGCGTGCCTTCGAACACGCACAAAATGGATTAGCTGAACTTTTCTCGAAAATATTGGCATTCACGGCTAAAATTTATAGCTGTTCTAGAAAACGCGTGAACTACTCCAGCATCACCAGAGCATCTGTTTGGGCTAAAAATTAGTGGAGAGGGCTAATATTTTTATCCTTGGCCATATGAGCTAATGCATTAGCTGTTTCAGCGAACCCTTTTTTTCGCCGTGAACCCAATGACAAACAAATATGCTTGTCTTGTCTATAGTAGTTATTGACGCACGTCGCCGGAGAGATAACTTGTGAGACAAGTTGACTTGGCGAGGTGATAGATTTCTTGACTTACATGGTAATCGCGGACGAAAAAGTCACGTCATGGATTTAATTCGTTAATCTATTCCCTTGTCTATGTCCGTCCCGCGCCCCCAATCTCGGATACAAATAATGACACCTTCCGATCGCGGTCCCGCATAAAATACCGATTACATTTTGCATGTGTCTTGAGCGCTTCCATAGCCCCCCTCCTCCCCCTCCTCCTCCTCACCCTCCTCACCCGTTCGACACCTTGATCTAAATCGCGCGCTGTTGGAGACTCGCGCGTCTGACGCCCACGCCCCACGCAGCCCGCCGCCCCTCTGCAGTTGGCGCCGAGCGAGCCGAGGCCGACCGACGCAGACTGGCAAACTTGCGTGGGTCTCACGGAACGCGGGTGCGGCTGAACTGCGTCGTGCGGCCCGCGTTTCAGTGGAAGTTGTCGCTCTCTCTCTCTCCCCCCCCCCAAATGAGAAGTCCCCTTTTGTTCCATACTTCAATCAAATTGTTTAGCTTAGTGTACCATATAATATTGTTGGATGTAAGTTTTAGTATAGGATTAATAAATAGATGAACGCCATAAACAAATCGTTTCAAAGACAGACGACTTTTATTGTCTCACCTTCTCTGAGCCCGCCAGCCCGCCCTCAGCCTTATCTGGAAACGGACGTTGATTTTTGTTCTGTGCCGCGGTACTCGTTGGCGCGGGGGCCCTCCTGGAGCATAGTGGTGCGGTGCAGCCGAACGCGTCCCACGGGCCGCCGGGGCCGGGGCCGGGCCGGGGAGGGAGCGGCCCGAACTCGGCCTCACTTACTTTCTTTCCGCTTTGACAAATGCGTCTCTCCGCTCCGTCCAAGTCCTGGTGGTGGTGGGCACCCTCGCGATGGTGTGACCAGGCCGTTGCCGCAGCGCGCGGCGGATGAAGGGGGTGAAGGGGGTGAAGGGGGTGAGG